TCTGGATAATGGGTCAACTTTCTCTCTAAAAGTGGGCATGACTGAAGAAGGTGTCATAGTTTCTCTGAACTCAGTTTTTATTCCCCACTTCCTTACTTGTCCACCTCTCCTTTTGGAGAGAATGCACGAAGGTAGAGACAAAACATGAGAAAATGTCTCCTTATCTCTCCTTACGTATTCAACATTTAAAAATTTATTCTTTATTAATCAAATGTTATTTTCAATCAGGCCTAGGGGGTAGTTATTCTCAATAAATTTTATTCTGAGCCGATTCAGTTCATTCTTGCAATGGTTTACATCGGTTAGTATTATGCTCCGAATAATCATAGATTTTAAAACTCCAACCTTTGTTTTATAATCATTATTGGAGAAAAAGTTAAGTATAAAGCAAGTATGTGTTGGCTTTCTATACACATCCCTGCTTAACTTCTCATCTGCTCTGATCACTAAGTCATAAAAAAAGGGGGAATTTATTGTTGACTTCCATCTGCATTGTCAATTTAATATTGCAGTCAATCTGGTAAATTAAAAACAAGAAATTATCTAAACTATCCTTGCCATGCTGCTATATGGCAAAATAGTCATCCATATAACTAACTATAGTTTGGGTGTCATTCTTACCTTTTAACTGAAGTGTTCCTCCATTCTTAACATGTAATTATTAGCTAAAATGGGAGCCAAGCAGCATTCCATTGCTAGGAATCGCACCTGTTCATGAACTTTATCATTAAATGTAAAGTATGTGATACTCATGGATAGATTAAGAAGTCTTAGGATTGAGCTTTTGCTCAAATTTGCCTCCCCAGTAATTTTTGGGTGTTCATCTACGCTGAGTGTAAGTGCTTCAATAGCTTTATGAACTGGGATTTTAGCATACATTGATACCACATCAAGACCATCTTCTTTAATTCTCTGTTGATCTATTAATCTGGCAAATTCATATGAATCCTTCACTGAATATTCCCAATACTCAGCCAATTTCCTTAGTTTTCTACATAAGAAACG